TTCAGGAAACCGAGCAGGAGGTCCTCAGGCCTTTGCACACTACTTTTGCAATTTTCTATCAGTCTAAAATTCTTTCCAGAAATATTTTAGTTGAGAAATGTCCATACCCAAGAAAGACAGTGGCCTTTTCTCCCGTCCCTTCCTGATTCCCTAAATACCTTCTTCACTTGTATATGGAACCCCTATTTGCCAGCTCCCCAATACATACTTTTCCCAGCTGTTGTCTCTAACATATAAGCAAGCACTTGTAGAGGATACACTCCACGATTCACTTCACCCTCCACCCCCTCTGGCAACAAAGGCTTGGAGTGTGTGTCAAGGGTCAGGCTCTCTCTCCCCAAGACACACAGCTTGAGGACTTTCTCACTCACCCCACCCACCTCTGAAGCACTGGAAGCCTTTGCAGGCCTCTGAATTCTGCCTGTAGCCAAAGCTCATGCTGGGAGTGGCTGGGAAAGAAAGAATCTAAATGTGAAGTCCGGAGGGAGATGGCTTGACCACTCTGCTTCTCGAGGACCCAAAAGAAACTCTTGTATGTTGGAAAGAGGACCGAGGGGTCACTTCCCACAGGGAGCCATTTAGACCATCTTAGGGCCCTTTTCTTTGAGCCCTGGCTTTAGACCAACATTTGGAATTTGGCCACACTGCCAAGAGCCCCCTCTCTTGAAGCCCAGCCAAACTTCCTAGTATGTGAAGCCTTCTCCACTCCCTCCATGTCCTCCCTCAGTCGTCGCCCAACCCCTAACAACTCAGCAGTTCCCAGCACTAAGGTTTGGCCTAGACGCTCAATTTGGAGTTTGTTCAATAAAGCTAACTCTGAGAGAGACCTCAAAGAAACAAGGAAACATGAAAATGGGAGCGTGAAGCTACACGCATTCATTCCAAGGGAAAAGAAGCCAGGTGCAAAATCACACAGAGAAGTGAGCAGAATGCGATTTCAAATTCATTTTTTTTTACTTTGTTTACTTGGGGGATTTGGGGTTTTGTTTGGTTGGTTGTTGTGGGTTTCCATGTGTTTGCTTTGTTTAGCCAGAACTGGTGAACATAGGTTCAGCAGAAGACCCTGCCTCAATAAACTAAGTGAAGAACCATTGAGGAAGGCACTCAGGATCAACTTCCAGGCTCCATGCACACACGCATGTGTGCCTCACACACACTCAGACCCAAGCAATACAAATAAACATATACAAAAGCATGCTACAGAGAGAGGGGAGGGAGGAAGAGTGGAGGAGGAGGGATGGGGAAAGGGGAAGGGAAGGGGGAGGGGGAATTTTCAATAGAGGAGCCATCCTCTGGAGACTTGTGTCCCACTTTTGCCAAAGTCAGCAAAAGCTAATGAGCTTCAACTACAGCGGAAACCAGAGTCACACAGTAAATAAGGGGAAACCAGACTAAAGATAACCCTGTAGAGATCAGTTGGAGTTCCCAGATATAGGCACCCTGTGTCCACTTCCCAGCTCTCGGGCAGAGGAACAGCCAGTATGTGGGAAAGAAGGGCAGAGACTGGTGTCTGTAGCCCTGGCAGTCTCTAGTGTGAAAAACGTCAGGATGTTGTGCCAAGGTAGGTCAGGGGAATACAAGATGACTCTAATCTTTTCTCTGAGTCACTCCTGAAATTCCCAGTACCAATCCCTCTCATTAGCCCACCTTCTGTGTCTCTCTTAATTATGTCTCTCTTTTCTGGTACCCAGCCAACCCTAACCCTTCTCTCTCAAGCCCCAAAGCTTTGGGAATGAAGCACCAGGCATCTTCCATCCTGCCTCTTTTTTGCTTGCTCACTGCTGTTAGAAGCAGGGACCAGAGCAGGAGGGGGAGGAGCCTGGGCCATGCCGCCCTGTGATGCTCTCACTCTTTCCCATCAACCGGTATATAGAACAGAGCCTCTTCCCAAACGCTCCTCCCCTTCCAGGATTCCCTGAAAAGAGTTTAGGGTCTCCCCTTTCTGAGGTCTCTCCCATGGTTTATGCAATGCAGTCTCGGGCTCTAGAATCAGCCTGAATGTGCATCCTAACTCTGCCTATTCGGATCTCTTAACTGAGCTCTACCTCGGACTCCTCATCTGCGTAATAGAGATGACAGCAATATTACACAGCACTGTCCTAGGAATCAAATGAACACACAAAGCGCTTGGCCTATTATGAATGCCCAGGAAGTGTTTATAATAGACACAGATACATAGATATTATCCAACATTTTATTTAGCTCTTGTGTATAGTGCTAGGGATTAAACTCAGAGTCTTAAACATGCTATGCAAGCACTCCACCACTGAGCTACACCCAATCCAGTTCCTACTTAAAAAGTTTATTGTGGGTACTTGGAGAGGTGGCTTAGCAGTTAAAACCTCTTGCTACTGTCTTAGTCAGGGTGTCTAGTGCTGCGACCAAACACCATCACCAAAGAGCAAGTTGGGGAGGAAAGGGTTTATTTGGCTTACACTTCAACATTGTTGTTCATCACTGAAAGACTTCAGGACAGGAACTCACACACAAGGCAGGATCCCAGAAGCTGATACAGAGGCCATGGAGAGGAACTACTTACTGGCTTGTTTCCCCCTGGCTTGCTCAGCCCACCTTCTTATAGAACCCAGGACCAGCAGCCCAGGGATGGTACCATCCACCATGGGCTGGGCCTTCTCCCAATGACCACTAATTGAGAAAATGCCTTACAGTTGGATCTCAAGGAGGCTACTTCCTCTGATGACTCTAGCTGTGTCAAGTTGACACACAAAACCACCCAGTACACCTCTCTTCCAGAGGACCTGAGTTCAGCTCACACCACCCCAACAGGTGACTTATAACCGCCTTGAATTCTATTTTTTTTAAATATTTATTTATTTATTATGTATGCAATATTCTGTCTGTGTGGATGCCTGCAGGTCAGAAGAGGGCACCAGACCCTGTTACAGATGGTTGTGAGCCACCATGTGGTTGCTGGGAATTGAACTCAGGACCTTTGGAAGAGCAGGCAATGCTCTTAACCTCTGAGCCATCTCTCCAGCCCCCACCTTGAATTCTAGCTCCAGAGGATCAGGTGCCCTCTTCTGACACTGTGGGCACACACAATAATAATAATAATAATAATAACAATAATAATAATAGAAAATGAAAGTTCCTAATGTTATTTTGACAGTTAATGAAATTCTGCTTAACTCTGTCTTTTAAAAATTTCATGTTTCTCCCCCACTCATTTTTGATGGTCCTACACCTCCCAGGATATAGGATACCATCCTTCAAATAGTTGAATGAGGGCAAGCAAGCTCTGAATTTCATCCTCAGGGCCCATACGTTAAAAGAGAGAACTGAGTCAGGCAGTGGTGGCACACACTTTTAGTCCCAGCACTCAGGAGGCAGAGGCAGGCAGATCTCTGAGTTTGAAGACAGCCTGGTCTACAGAGCAAGTTCCAGGACAGTCAGAGCTACACAGAGAAAACCCTGTCTCGAAAAGACAGAAAAAAAAAAGAAAGAGAGAGAGAAGAAAGAGAAGGAAGGAAGGAAGGAAGGAACTTCAAGAATATTCTGATTTGATCTGCACCCATTTGTCCCCCCTCTGCTAGTAAATGCAAGCAATCAACTTCACCTGTGCCATAGGTCAGAAAATGAATAAATGACAAAGTCGTAGACAGGACATGGGCACGGACTGTTCCTATGTTTCTCAACTCTGGGTGCATTTTAGAATCACCTGAATCGTACACGTGTGTGTGGGCGTGGGTGGGTGGGTGTGTATCCTGGAATCTACCCTTCAGAGAAGGGTAATAAATTTAAAAATTTGGGGCCAAGAGTTGGGTTTGGTTTGGGTTTTTGTTTTGTTTTTCGAAACAGGGTTTCTCTGTATAGCTCTAGCTCTCCTGAAACTCACTCTGTAGACCAGGCTGGCCTCCAACTCACAGAGATCCACCTGCCTCTGCCTCCAGAGTGCTGGGATTAGAGGCATGTGCATACACTGCTGGAATTTTTTTTGGCTTGGTTGGTTTTTTTTTTTAATTGGGAGTATTGCTATGGGTATTACTATGCAGCCCAAGCTGATCTAGAACTCTCCGTTCTTCCACCTCAGCCTCCTGACAGGTTTACATCTACTAAATATTAATCTAATCACCTTATTTCAGTAACAATAAAACATTATTGAGTGGGTAAGCAAATTGACCAAATTTTTCCCAGCATGTCTTCACTTTTTTTTTTTTTAAGTTGGTTGGTTGGTTTGCTTGCTTGCTCTTCTTTGAGACAGGATCTCTCTATGTAATCCTGACGGCCCTGGAGTTTGCTATATATGTAGACCAGGCTGTCTTTGAATCTACAGAGATCCCCCAGCTTCTGCCTTGGGAGTGCTAGAATCAAAGCCTCCTGCCACCTCAATGAGGTATGCCTTTAACTACTTGTTTTGGGGGGGCGTTGTTTTTGTTTTTGGAGACAGTATTTCTCTGTAGCTTTGGAGCCTGTCATAGAACTGGCTCTTGCAGACCAGGCTGGCCTCGAACTCACAGAGATCTGCCTGCGTCTGCCTCCCAAGTGTTGGGATTAAAGGCGTGCGCCACCACCGCCCGGTGCACACTTGTCTGCACACTTGTAATGCACCCCACAGCCCCAGTTGCTTACGGGTCTGAATCAGAAGGTTCCTGAATTCCGGGCCATCCAGAAAAGCACAGGGAGACGGCACAGACAGAAAGACAGACAGGACAGGTAGGCAAGCAGAGAGGCAGAGCAAGGGACAGAGACAGACTGGAACAACAGCAATAAATTGATGATGTTTATAATTTTTCTTGCTGGAATTAATCCTGGAAGCATTCCTCCTTCGTCAGAGAGGCCCTGTATAATTTACCTTGCACTTTGGCTGCAGCACTTAAGACTTCTGCCACGGCTAAAAAGGGTTCGCATTCCCTGACCACAAAAGGACAGGGATGAACTTGCACGCTCACCACTCACAGCCCGCAGCTTTAGCAAAGCTCCATAGAAGGCCGCTAGAGGTGCCTTAAAATGCTTCACTACCGTGATCACCCAGAGCTGAGGGAACCTTGGGTGGAGTGGCGAGATGACGAGAGAGCTGGGAAGGAAGAGAAAGCGTCCTCTTCTAGGGAGAGGCCCTGGGAACGCACCGAGAACCGGCCAGCGCTGCCAGGAAGGAAGGTGAGGGAAGGAAAAGAATTTCAATGAGTTTGGAGAGCTTCTGCTTTCCCAGTAACAGAACTGGGACGGACAGCATGAGGCCTCCAACCCTCTCGGGGCCTGACGGCCAGGGCACGTGAAAACCGACGCTTCAGATTGACCAAACGGGAAAGCGCTTCCAACTCTGAAAAATGAGCCCCATTAAAGATCAGCTCACCCACCAGCCAACCTTTCTCTTCCCTCCTTTAGGGACGCACAACCAATTACCCAACGCCAAACGCGGAGGGCGGCTCCAGCGTCACGTGACGCCGCGGCCACGTGACCCCCGCCCTGGCGAGCCGAGGCGCGACCCAGCTCCCGCAGCCCGAGGGAGGGGCCCGTTGCGCCCAAACCCAGCTAGATACGACCATGCTGTCCCGCCTGCTCAAAGAACATCAAGCCAAGCAGAATGAACGCAAGGAGCTGCAGGGTGAGCGCAGTCCCTTCGGCCCTCCCGGCCGCGGCCTGGCTTCTGCCGGAAGCCTGGGGCCCGGGCAACTTCCCAAATTAAGAGGAGGACGCCGGCTAGCGGGCGACCCAAGTGCAGGGCAGGGAACTGGGGCACTTCTGCAAATTCCGTTCCCTTGCCAACCCGCTCGGGTCCCTTCGGCAACTCCCCGATCCCGCCGAGGCGACGTCTGAGCCCCGCCCCTGGCTCTTGACACGCGGTGCCCATTGGCCCAGGCAGCCTCTCACCGGAAGTGGGAGGGAGTTAGGGGCAGCCCAGTGGGTTCCAGCCGGTCTGCCACCGCAGCTAAGGCTGTGAAGCGCGGATCTTAAGGCCCAGACTGGGAATCCTGGAGTTGCCAATCTATTGCCCAAAGTAATGGAGAAAGGGTGTCTGGGAAGAGGCCTGGGCGTGCTTGAGGGAGAGAGTCCCTTCCCCTCGCAGGGTGCCAGTTTCCTCACCTCCAAAATAAAGGGGTTTGGTTTTATGTTTGTGAGGTTCTTTTTTAAAGGTCTGACGTTAGTTGACCAGAATAGTAAGTTTCCAGAATAGTAAGAAGTGCGTAGGGAACCCCTTGGCACCACCTCTTAAATACGAAGTCTGCTCCAATCCCTTTCCCCTTCCCCAGAGAAGAGGAGGCGAGAGGCCATCACTGCCGCGACCTGCCTGACCGAAGCTTTGGTGGATCACCTCAATGTGGGGTATGAACCTCGTCCCTCAGCTCGTTTCCTCCATCCACCCTGGTTAGACAAAGTCTGGGCCATCCTCCTAAAGGATCCAGGTGCTTCAGTTACTCCCCTGACCTCCCTCCCTCCCCCTAATGTAACTTCACGGAGACCTGAGTCAGCTTTGACCCCTAAGCAGCTGCAGTGGTCGGGAAAGTTGCCAGAATTCCCCCTCCCCATACCAACCTCCCTGGCACAGCTTGATGCCACCTGGCGAACTCGAGATTCACCCTTTTAAATCCAGCTGTCACTTGGGTGGGAGGGAAGGACAACCTGTCTCACCACATCCCGCTTTCCTTCCTTCCCTCCTACTCTCTGGCAAGCCTGGGAAACAACTGGCAGGAACAAGAGGGCCCAGCTGGTAGAACTGAGGAAGAGCCTATGCCAAGAGCTATGACAAAACCAGGCTGTCTCTTCCCTTCCTTCTGGGTCTCCAGGGACTCTGCCCCCAGCCTCTACCCTGAGTGAGGAGGCCAATGATAGCCAAAGACTTGAAAAGACTTCCTGGAGCTGTGTGACTCAGAGGAACGCAGAGATGGTGCCTTGATCGTCGGCCTAGGGGAAGAAAGGAGGCTCACACTATGCCTTCCACTCAGGGCAAGCAGAACGGCTCAGTTGTAAATCCAGAGACTGAGTCACCCAAGGGAGACGTGCAGGGCTTGGGGGTCATCTCCATTACTCATCTGAGAGAGTAGGTGGGAAATGGCTGTGGTTGGAGCCTCTGGTCTCCTTGGTCTCCAGACAGCTGTCCTCTCTCAATGCTCCCCCCCATTGGCACCTTTGCTACCATTTGTGAGGCTGTTAGATGCCACCCTGCATTCAAGTTTCGAGGGCAGCTAAGCCAAATCCAGATTAGAAAGGGTTTTGTGTTGCTACCCACAGCTCCTGTTCTCCAGAAAATGAAACAAAGGCTTGGTCTGTCTCAGCCCTTGTCAGGTGCCCTGACCGCTTTCCCGGACCCCCACACACACATTCCAGTGGGTGGCGGCACCGGATGTGGAGTCTCCTTTCTGACCTAGAGCACTGGGATTGGGAATGGAAAGGTCAGCTGCTAGTAAGAGAGAAAACGGCAGTTACATAAAAAAGAAGCAAAAAAATCAGAGCACCAACCCCTTGGTAGTCATGGCAACCACAGCCAGAACCTTGATTGACCAGAAAAGAAGTGTTGCCCTCAGCATAAGGACAGGAGTATGTCGTGTGTGTGTGTGTGTGTGTGTGTTCACTCGTCTTTATGGGTGAAAGGAGTATGGGTGGGAGAGTTAGGTGTGACGGCAAGTGCCTATACACCTGTAATCCCAGCACTTGGACAGTAGAGGCAGGAGGATTGGGTCAAGGCCAGCTTCATCCCTATAGCAAATTTGAGGTCCTCCTGGGCCACATAAGACCCCCTCTCAAAGGCAGTGGGTATGAGAAGGCCAAGAAAATCTCTTGGGATAGGCTTATTTGACCCAGGGTTCCTAAGGAGGGGGCTTACTCTCCCATCTCATCCCAGATTCAGGGAGGGGCCTGGTTTCTTTCCCAGCTTCTCACTGAGAACACGGGCCTTCAAATCACTGCCAGATGTGTCCCTGCTGCTAAATTTTCCCACGCCCCCTTTTCCCTTCCAGCTTCTTCCTTGGGGATATCCCCCAGGTTAACCCTCCCTGCCCCATCTCAGCTACAGAAACGCCTTGAGAGGATAAGGAACGGTATGTTTCTCCCAGCTCCCAGATTGGCTTTCTTGGGAACCCTAGAGTTGTAAGGAGCCTGCTTCCTTAGGGTCATACCCAGAAAAGGCCAGAATCCCAAGGCTTCCCCAGCCCTACCTCCTGGCTGATCCTCCCAGCACAGTCATAGGCCCTGAAGACCACCCCCTATGAACCGAATGAGCTGACATCCTCCTCCTCCGATCCTTAGTGTGGCCCAGGCCTACATGAACCAGAGAAAGCTGGACCATGAGGTGAAGACCCTACAGGTCCAAGCCGCCCAGTTTGCCAAGCAGACAGGCCAGTGGATTGGAATGGTGGAGAACTTCAACCAGGCACTTAAGGTGGGCCACACTCAACACTTCGTTGTCTTTATTTGAGCCCCCATTGGCTAGCTTCAGTCTCATAACTGTCTCAGACCTAGGGTTAATGAGGAAGTGGGAGTGGTCCCAGATATTCCTTCTGGTGTCAGAAAAGTCAGAAGGCAGGATTTGGGTTTTTCTTTTTTTTTTCTTTTTCTTTCTTTTTTTTTTTTTTTTTTTTTTCCGAGACAGGGTTTCTCTGTGGTTTTGGAGCCTGTCCTGGAACTAGCTCTTGTAGACCAGGCTGGTCTCGAACTCACAGAGATCCGCCTGCCTCTGCCTCCCGAGTGCTGGGATTAAAGGCGTGCGCCACCACCGCCCGGCTGAAGGCAGGATTTGGGGATGTGACTCAGTGACATGTTGTTTAGGGCCCTGGGCTCCACAGAAAACCCTCAGTATGGTACAAAGTCCAGTCGTGCCAGGTACTCTGGAGCCTGAGGCAGGAGGATAGCTTGAGCCAAGAGTGGAAGCCAACCTGAGTAATGTTGCAGTAATCTGCCTCAAAGAAAGGCAGACAGACAGACAGAAAAGCAGCTGGTGTATCTGAGTGAGCGACCTCATCCTGGGAGGCGTAATCTATCCACCCTGATTCCTAGCCTCCAATCTCCTCTCCCCTTCCCAGGAAATTGGGGATGTGGAGAACTGGGCTCGGAGCATCGAGCTGGACATGCGCACCATTGCCACCGCACTGGAATACGTCTACAAAGGGCAGCTGCAGTCTGCGCCATCCTAGCCTCTCGCCTCTCCCCCATCCTAGCCTCTCGCCTCTCCCCAAACCCTCTTCTTACCCTCCCGAACAGGAGGGAGACTGGAAGGCCACAAATAAAACACAAGGTTCCATTCTGTGTGGTGTTTGACGGAGTCACTACTCCTGCATGGTAGTGGGGTTTCCAGGTCGTTTTCCTATGGACCAGTGCCTTTTGTGGAGGGTGACAATATTCCTCTCACTGCACCTGCTCTTCCTTGAGCCTGGTGCAGGTGCCTTCTGGCTGAGCCGGAAGTTTCCTCATGCCTGCCCAGAGGAGGCCTCTGCTCGAAACTTTCTACTTCCAGACTGGAGTTTCCTGCAGGGAATTAAGGCAGGGAGCAGACCTAGTCCTCGGCTCTGGCTCTCCACCCACCACATGCTCACATGCTCTTCCAGGCTGCCGCTAAGCAGTGTCATGAGTCTGGGCCAGATGGGAGATTAATTCCTGGGGGCACTTTAGGGCTGAGAAGGGAAAAAAAAAATAACAGGTCTAGGGCCACCCACAGAGAGGGGCAGCTACCATCCTTGGTAGTTCCTACCTCCTAGGAGACAGTAGCATAGCCGGTCCAGAGGCCAGGCTGAGAAAGACAGCCTAAGGGGGGCCTGGGCAGAGCTGCCCTCTGCCAAAACCTAGCTTCAGCCTCTTAGCTCCTCCTCCTCATCGCTGCCCTCACCACCCCCCAAACACAGAGAGACTTAACACCCCTGCTCCGCAGCAAGAGTCCATCCCTCCAGACTTTGGCCTTAGCTGTAGCGAGTGTGGGAGCTGGGAAGGCTGGGAGCAAAGTCTGGACGAAAAAGCTTCACACGTTGTGTGCCTGCTTGCCTGCCTGCTTTGCCCAGAGGTGAGTGGCGCGGTGGGAACGGGCCGGGTGCTCTGAAAAGACTTGCTAGGGACGGCATGTGTTGGTCATTCAGGCCTCCAGCTTCACGCGCTGTCCTCACACAGCAGCCCTCCCACGATGCTGAGATGGCCCTGGTGGGTATCGCAGCGCAGTTTGCTAAATGAGAAAACAGGTTCCAAGACAGTGAAGGTGTCCAGCTTCACTTTGAGGCCACCAGGGCTGAAATGCAGGGCTCTCGACTCCAGAAATAAGGCAAGGATGCACCCAGAGGGTCTTGGTGTTCCTGGATTAGTGGAAGGTACAGTGGTACCCCAGGTCCCTCTGCTCCCACACAACACGTTTGTACACAGGGCCAGCTCAGGTTGATTTCATTAGCTACAAACGTCAGCTTGTTTGCTAGTGTGTGCCCACATCTGTTTGGCACAATAAGCCATAACCTGCCAATCATCTGCCAAGCGGATGGTTTCTTGGTTGGTCTGCTCAGACCAGACATTTCCAGCGTAGTAGACGGTAGGGGCCAGGGCTGAAGGGGCAGTGGGAATGACAAGCTTTCCTGCCCAGTCTAGGCTGCCATCTGCAGGGCACCGCATCTAACCATGTGGCTGCCTCTGCTCCTGAGTGCCTTGCTGTGGGCAGTGCTGTGGTTGCTCAGAGACCGGCAGAGACTGCCTGCCAGCGATGCTTTCATCTTCATCACTGGCTGTGACTCAGGCTTTGGGCGCCTTCTGGCACTGCAACTTGACCAGAAAGGCTTCCAAGTCCTGGCCAGCTGCCTGACCCCCTCTGGGGCAGAAGACCTACAGCAGATGGCCTCCTCCCGCCTCCACACAACACTGCTGGACGTCACCGATCCCCAGAACGTCCAGCAGGTTGCCAAGTGGGTAAAGACACATGTCGGAGAAACTGGTGAGTAGTGGAGCCCCCGGGAACCTGGTCTCTACAGTAATCCCAGGAGTCACTGGGGCTGTGGGGAGCAATGGGGTTCAAATCCTCCCAGGAAGAAAACCTTCCCAGAATCCCAGCCTGTGTCTGTCATTTCCCCACAGGGCTTTTTGGTCTGGTGAATAACGCTGGTGTGGCTGGTATCATCGGGCCTACACCATGGCTGACAAGGGATGACTTCCAGCGTGTGCTGAATGTGAACACACTGGGTCCCATCGGGGTCACCCTTGCCCTGCTGCCTCTGCTACAGCAGGCCCGGGGCCGGGTGGTCAACATCACCAGCGTCCTGGGTCGACTAGCAGCCAATGGCGGGGGCTACTGTGTTTCCAAGTTTGGCCTGGAGGCCTTCTCAGACAGCCTGAGGTGAGGGTGCAGAGCTCCAGCCCAGCCTGGAGAGGGACGGGGATCTTACTAACAGGTACACTGGATGCGGGGACAGGCCAGAACAGGAAGAGGAGACAGGGTTATAGAAAGCTGAAACCCCAGGCTTTATCACCTACAGGCTATGTCCTTAAATAGCTTACACTTGTGTGTGTTATTTGAGACTGTGCCATCCTGACTGAGCTGGGACTCACAGAAATCAGCCTGCCTCTGCCCCTCTGCCTCCTAGTGCTGAGCTTAACGGTGTGTGAGCACACCACACCAAGCAGGGACTTTTGGTTTCTTTTTTTTTTTTTTCCTGCAGTTTTTCGAGACAGGGTTTGTCTGTACAGCCCTGGTTGTCCTGGAATTCGCTTTGTAGACCAGGCTGGCCCCAAACTCACAGAGATCCGCCTGCCTCTGCCTCCCGAGTGCTGGAATTAAAGGTGTGCGCCACCACCGCCCGACCTACTTGTTTCTTGAGTCAGGGTTGCACTCTGTAGGCCTGGCTGGCCCCAAATTCTTAGCAATCTTCCTTCTCAGCCTCTTGAGCACTGGCATTACAGATGTGAGCCGCCACACACCTAACGAGGTTATTTCTTTATGTTTGGTTTTTTTTCTTCCAAATCTGTTAAGTCAGAGTGAGACTTGCCTCGTGGGGGTTCAGAGCAAAGTGGGGTAAGTACTAGAACCCATCAGTGCCTTAGATGTTGGGGAAACCTTTTGTCATTTATTTTTAAATGGCATTTACTTACATATATATATATATATATATATATATATATACATATATATATATTCACACACAGAAAACAGACACACATACATATTGTGTGTACGTATGTACACATGAATGTACAGGTGTCATGACTTGCATTTCAAAGTAAATCCATGGGAATCTGTTCTCTCTGAGGTGGCGAGGCAGGAGCCCTTCCTCCTTGGTGAGTCATCCCACCAGCCCTCACATCACTATTTTTGTTGTTGGTTTGTTTTGTTTTTTTGAGACCGGGTTTCTCTGTGTACCTCTGGAGCCTGTCCTGGAACTCGCTCTGCAGACCAGGCTGGCCTCAAACTCACAGATATCCTCCTGCCTCTGCCTCCCGGGGGGGGGGGGGGGGTGCTAGGATTAAAGGTGCCACCGTCACCTGGCTCCTCATATCACTATTAACAGAAAAACTCGGGTTTTTTCTTTCCATCCTCTCTCCCATTCTGTATGAAATAGCTATTACTGTGGGCTACAGTAGGAGTGTTGAGACATGCCCCTAGGCCAGGTCTGCCCTTCAGTTTTGAGACAGGGTCTACTATAGACCACGAGGTCTTTTTTTTTTTTAATGTGTATTGGTGTTTGGCCTGCATGTATGTCTTATATGAAGGTGTCAGATCCCCTGGAACTGGAGTTACAGACAGTGGTGTGCTGCCATGTGGGTGCTGGGACTTGAACCTGGGTCCTCTGGAAGAGCAGCTAATGCTCTTAACCGCTGAGCCAGTTCTCCTGTTCCTTTTCCTTTTATTCTTGAGATAGGGTATCACTTTGTAGCCTAGACTGGCCTCACTCTGCAAGTGCTGGGCTCACAGACACAGCCTTCACTTCGGGCCTCCCATAACATCTGAACAACAATGTTCAAAGTCAGTGGGACCGTAAGGAGCAAAGACGACCATGGGAGCAGGAGAGTCCGAGTCAGGAAGGCTGCCTTCATCACCGTTCCTGACAGATAATTTCATTGCTCTGTCCCCTGGCCTGTTCTTCCAGTCAGCATCACTTGAGTCTCAGCCCAGGCCAGAACAGGGAGGCAGGATGCACCCCTACCTGAACTATCAAGTCACCTGCCAGCTAATACCAGTCTAGAGTCCTCACACCCAGTACTCAGGACTCAATCTTACAAGGCTCTAGATCAAGAACTGACAGCCTGCAGTTATCAACCACATGGGCTCAGCTGCCTTCAGGCTAATAATGGTTTTATATATTTAAATAGTTATATTGTAAATGGTTATATAAGTACATTAATTTTGCCAGATATTGTGGCACACACCTTTTAATCCCAGCACTCAGGGCAGAGGCAAGAGTATCCGAGTTTGAGACCAACCTGGTCTACATAATGAGTTCCGGTCCAGCCAGAGCTACATGGTAAAACCCTGTAGCAAAATAAATAAAAACACTAATTTTGTCTGGCCTGTAGTATGTCAAAATTTACTATCAAGAAAAAGTAAGGGATGGGGGAATGGGGTGGGGAGAGGCTCCCCAGTTATGATCGCTGGGTGATCATGAGGACCCACACCCACGTAACATGATGCCCTCTCCTGACCCTCATATATATGTACATATACACTCACACATGTGCACACACGCACACATTTACGTGAATCTTTGAAGACAGGAACAGAAGGATCCTGAATTCAGAGTTAATCTGGACTATATTAGCAGCCTGAGACTTTAGGCTTGATCCCAAGCACCTACCACCACGAAAGTAAAAAAAATACAGCTTGCTAACCATTAATCTAGTTAATAGAAGAAAATACATAATAAAGGTGTGCTTCATGATACCCACCCATAATTCCAAGACTAGGGAAGCTGAGGCAAGGGACTGAGGACAGCCTGGGCCACAAAACAATCCCCCCTGCCCCCGCACAGTGATACAGGCCTGTAATCCTAGCATTTTCCAGGCCAACTTCTACTATGTATCAAACTCAAGCTACATGAAAACTGATCTCAAAAAAATTTTTTTTTCTTTCAAGCCAGCAAAATGGCTGAGCACTTCCTTACAAGCCGGACATCCTGAGTGTAGTGGACATCCGTGGTAGAAGAAACCAAGCTGTCCTGTGGCATCCAGACATGGACAGTAGGGGGCTGGAGAGGTGGCTCAGAGGTTAAGAGCATTGCCTGCTCTTCCAAAGGTCCTGAGTTCAATTCCCAGCAACCACATGGTGCCTCACAGACATGGACAGTGGCATACACACATACACAAGAAGATTAGCCCAGACTACACAGTGAGACCCTGTCTCATAAAATAAATTTTAAAAAATGAGAGAGAAATATCCAGCCTACATAACAGCTCACACCTGTAATCCCAATCCATGGAAGGCAGAGACAGAAGTTACCAGTTCAATGCTAGCCTGGGCTACGTGAGACTCTGTCTCAAAACACAAAAACAAGGGGTCAGGGAGATGACTCGGAGGATAAGAGGGATTAAAATCTGCTCTTGCAGAAGACCAGACTGGTCCCCAGCACCAACATGGTGGGTGGTTCACAGCAGCCTGTAACTCCCCCAGCACCCACAAGATGGCTCACGACAGCCTGTAACTCCAGCTGCAAGGGACCTGACACCTTCTGACCAGTGAAGGCTCCTGCATACCCATGAACTCATGCAACGCACATAAATATTCAATAAGCTTTAGAAAGAGACTATAAGGAAAAAGTGAAAGATACCAGCCCTGGGCTGGATGGTGAGGAGCAGTTTCTGGTCCACCATACACAGGCCCGAGGTTTATCCTCAGTGCCAAGGAGAAAAACAAGAAGCTCCCCATCCCAGACCCACCAGCAACAGCCTTTCCCGTCAGGATGCGCGCGTCCCTACACTGTCACATCTCAGACCCCTCACTCGTGGGACCCCTCTGCCCACCCTCCAGGCGTGACGTGGCTCCATTTGGAGTACAAGTCTCCATCGTGGAACCTGGCTTCTTCCGAACCCCTGTGACCAGCCTGGAGAGTCTGGAAAACACACTAAAGGCTTGCTGGGCCCAGCTACCACCGGCAACACGGGCTCACTACGGGGAAACCTTCCTCACTTCTTGTGAGTAGCTGGGCCCATATTGAATGCAAGATGAGAAAAAGAGGGCCAGGAAGGTCAGGCCTCGTAGGGAGGAAAATGACAGGCAGAGGGAGGTGGTGTCGCTTCCCAAACTGGGCAGCCAGCCCAGGAGATCTATAAGACAGCCTAAGAGGGATGGCGGGAAGGGAGGGAGCACGCACACACTAACTAGGGGCATCTTCCAAGATACAGATCTCCAAGTGCAGCGCCGCGTCATGAACCTGATCTGTGACCCAGACCTGGCGAAGGTGACCAGCTGCCTGGAGCATGCCCTGACTGCTCGTCACCCCCGAACCCGCTACAGCCCAGGCTGGGATGCCAAGCTGCTCTGGCTGCCTGCCTCCTACCTCCCAGCCAGCCTGGTGGACGCTGTGCTCAACCGGGTCCTTCCCCGGCCTGCCCAGTCAATCTCCTGATTCCAACTTTCCAGCAAAGGGCTGACTGTGAAGGGCAAAACATGTCAGGAGCCATTTTCCCAAAAAGTATAGTAGGGACCATTGTCCTGGGGATGTTTGCAGAGAGCTCCACACCCCAACTGTATTGAGAACTGTTTGTTGGCGGAGCCCACCCCACACCCAACTATCTTGAGAGACATCTGTTAGCAGAACCCGCCCCACATTCCAATTATCGAGAGAATTGTTTGTGGTTGGAATCACAAAAGGAACGATTCCGCTTGCATAGAGAACACTGGTGACCAAGTGTGAGTCGTGACCATTGCTGCCCCATTGCTGCCCCGGCAAGATCCCTTCCTGTCCTTGCCATGCCCCTGCCCCCATCCCAAGCCAAATTCCTCATTCAAGGGCTATATAAGCCACAACCATTTCACTAATAAAGTGAGGCTTTGACAAGAGAATTTTGCTTGGCCTCGTTCCTCTTTCCCGCCCATGTCTTTTTCAGATAGTGCCTCTTCGGGACCCTGGAATAACTGACCCGCTGGGCAGGTTTACAAAAACATGTATTTCTGTCTCCACTCTGGGGCTGCCTGGTTCCTGGCACAAAGTTGGCTCTCAATAAATATGTATTGTTTTAAAAGAAAAAGTAGGTGGACAGAAGTGAAGGTACTCGTGGGAGCCTGGCAAGATTTAGTGTCTAAAATCCCTAAACTGCCTAGAGCGGGTACTCTTTCTGCCTGCAAAACTTCTGTTGTCCACTGGAGGGGTGTAAGGAACTACCTTCCACTTAGGCTTTTTGGAGCTGCACTTGGAGAGATGGCCACAAGAGGGCACTTTTGTCCGATTTTTCTGCGTGGAGTAGCGAGCATTTATTTGCACCTGGCAGGGCATTATCTAATGTTTGCAGGACAGAAGGACAGGTGATGAAAATGCTCAGAGCCGGATTGGATGGCTTCCATGGAAGAAGGAAATACTTAAATTCTCCTATTATCTAATGCAAAAGAATCAAGACACTGGCTGCATAGGTCTCAAGCAACTTAACCATTCGAAAAAGGAGCCAGGCCTCCTCAAGAACTGAGAAGGAGGAGTCTGCTCGTCCTCAAAGCATCAGAAGGCCAAGAGGTGTCCAAAATAGACATGGGCCAGACTTTACCATGTAGGCCCTGTGTGGAAAAATCCCTTGGTCTTATGCAGGATAGGGCCTCGTTAATGCTCTAGGAACACTGAAGACCAGCAGACAACACAAAACAGGGCTCAGAGAGGGGACACTGGCACCTCCTCCTCTGGCCCCCACTTCTCCCATGGCCAAACCAGCCAACACTAACAAAAGACTCCTTTCCCAAAACCCCCTAAATATGCCTGCCTATTCCCTGGGCAGGAACTGGGAGAAGGAAAAGGAAGGGACCATCCTTCATTCTAAGATAAACTGAGAACATCTCCTTTTCAGGTCTGAAAAAATAATCCGTTTAATTGAAAAACCTGGAGAATCCACTCCCTTAGATGAAAAGACAGAAGAGATCAGACCCCCCCCTACATTACTTCATAGCCACTTCGGATACTTTTCACCAGACAGCAGGAGAAGATGATTCCCAGGACCTAAAAGGAAAGATGGAGATGAAGTTTGGGGAGCTTCCCCAAACCCATCCAAGGGCCACTCTGCCCAGGCTCCCCAGATGCCCTGCACGTGTTCCTCACCTCCACAAAAGCAATACCCAGGGCTGCCGCAGCCACCAGCAATATATTCTTCCTCAGTTCAGCCCCCATGCTCGGGACGCAGCCCTGAGGGAAAAGCAAGCATGAATACCAAGAGAAAGAGACGTCCTACCTCCCTCCTATTCCATCTCCCAGCCCTCTTCTCCCTGGAGCTCAGCCCCAGCCCTGATCCCGTAAGCCTCTCTCCTGCCTCCTTGAACATTTCCCAAGTTTCCCAGGTCTAATGTCTTCTCCCTACCTGAGTATGGATCGTGGATAACTTGAAGTCAGTCCCACAGCCCACAGTGACGTTGACGCAGCAGGAATCGGGGACTCGGTCCTTGGCCATCCCAGGGACAGTCTCCCAGTCTGTGTAGTTATTAGCCCCACAGCAGTTAAACTAGGAGAATGGGGAAGGGAGGGAGGAAAGCTGCTCAATCAAGCCAGAGATGAGAACCTTCCATCCCCACTGTCCCTCTCCCCGGCCTTCCCACTCACTCGCTGCTGCCACCCGTCCAGAACCGAGGCTGTTCTGTTGTCTTTCAGGTAATTCTGCATCTGCTTCTGGAAGCTCCTACTGAACTCTGACTCCACCTACGAGGAGGAAAGCATGTCGGAGAGAGAATTCAGGCCCTGGAGTCCCAGGGTGACCCGAGCCAGGGCTCCCCTGTTCCCGGCTTACCTTGTCTCTGAACACGTATCCAGCAATGGCCACGGCCACCTCCACAAGCACGATGAGAGACAGGAAGACGGCGAACTGCAGAAGCACAGGGCAGGTGTCGGGTTTGGCGTCTGGATCTAAGAGGCTTGTTCTGACCCAGTCAATTCCTGGTGCTCCTCACCCACCCACCCACCTCACCACAAAAATGCCCTGCGGCCGTCACAGGAGTCACGCTGTCCCCCCGTCACTCACTGTAATCATAAGACAGGAATTCTCCTTGCAGGCCCCACAGCAGCCCACAAAGGCCACCAGGAAGAGGAAGGCGCCCACTGCAATGATGACCACAGGCAGCAGGGAGGCTGGCGTGGTCTCCTGGCTGATGGTCTGATTCAAGAAAACCTGAGCTGCCACACCAACGGCGATCAATCCCACGGCACAGGCCTGGGGGGAAAAGGTGGGTTTGGTCAGATCCTCGCCCTCACACCTGATCTCCACCCAGTTTTTTTGTTTGTTTGTTTGTTTTGTTTTGTTTTGTTTAGAAATAGGGTTTCTTTGTGTAACAGTTCTGTTCAGTCCTGGAACTCGCTCTGTGGACCAGGCTGGCCTCGAAATCACAGAGATCCACCTGCCTCTGCGTCCCCAGTGCTGGGATTAAAGGCGTGCACCACCACCGCCTGTCCCAGAAAGCAGACTGTGAAGGGAGCCCTGACTGTAAAGAAGGCAGTCTGCCCATCTGTGCCCCACAGGGAAGGCTGGGAAGTTGTTCAAGACACTCGGGGAAGGGGGATCAGGTGTCACGCCTTCCTGTAAATGGCTCTTCACACGGGAGGACTCTCAGGTAGACTCTCTCCAGAACTGCCCCCTCACTCCAGTGACTAAGGTCCTAGGGCCAGCTAGGCCAGGCAGAAAGAGGGGGGTAAGAGTGGCCCCACTCAGAACAAACACTAGCTTCTCAAGCCAGGAGCAAAAGAAAGTGGGCTGAGCCTTTCCTTCCCCCCACCTCCATGAGAGGGTAGAGAAGAGAGATGAATACACAGGGTGGGGATTGGGGTAGCCCCGTGGCGATACCATCAGACCGTTGGCAGGTTGCCCCACTACCCCATATCACAAATGGTTGGGTCACCAGACAGGAAGGGCCAGGAGGGGGTTGAGCGGGGGTGCTGCCCATCTAGGGTGGCCATTCTCTGTCCAAACTCTCCTCCGAGGTCCCGGAAAGCCAGCGGGAAAGGGGTGCGTTCTGCCCTGGGCCATTTCTTCGGCCTTTCCTTCCACATCTGGCCTCCAGCTGCCTCCGTTCCTGGGTCCCTCACCCCTCATGGCTCCGGCTCCAAGACTCCCCGCACCCCGTCCCTCTGCCCCCACTACTCACGCAGAAGGCCAGCAGAAGAACGTAGAGCAAGAACTTGACACACTTCATTCCTCCTTCCACCGCCATGGCTGCTGGGCCTGGGGCCGCAGAAAGCACAGGGATCGGATCAGGCCGAGTGGGCACCGGCTCGGCAGCTCCCCACCGGCCCTCGCAGCCTTCCCTGCGCGGCCCCCACCGCGGCCCTTCCCACCCGGAAACCCGCGCTCAGATCCACGTCTCCCTGTCCCCTCCGCGCGGCGGCCGCACGGGGGGGGGGGGGGGGCCCTCAGCGAGCGGGACCTCGGGATCCCAGGACGCACGGAGGGCGCGGCCGGGCACCGTGCAGACCTCGACCCCGGCGGCCGCCCGCCGCACCGCAGCCGGTCCTTCCTGCGCCGGATCCGGACTGCGACCCCCGCCGGCCGCCGCCCAGCGCCGAAGCCTGCGATCGGCAGGCCGCGACCCCGGAGCCGCCAGGGCCTCCCCTCCCCGGGGGGTGGCGCGCCTGGCGCCCCGCGGGCGTCGCCAACTTCGAGGCAAAGTTGCTCGAGGGCCCGGGCGAGCAGCCGGCTGCTCGCGGGCGGCTGGGCGCGCGTCCCCCCGGGGCGTCCCCGGGGGCCTTCGGCACCCGCGGCCCCGGCCTCACCTGCGCTCCCCGACGTCGCACGCTGCTCTCCGGCCGCGGGTCAGCCGCTGTCTCCCCGCCTGCGCCCCCCGCTCGCGCCCCGCCTGCCGCGCGGCCCCGCCCCGGCTCCAGCCAGCCCCCTCCCCCGCGGGGTGGCCGCCAGCCTCCCTCGTGACGCGGGAACAGCTGCGGCCTGAGTCACCGGGGCTGGCGGGCGAGGGGGAGGCGAGCCCCCCGCCCGGGCAGGGCCACGTGGCCCCTACCGGGAAAACCCGAACCGGGCGCCGGACCCCAGGCTTCCCGGGGGCCCCCAGAGGACGGAGGGGCCGCCCAGAGTTGCCCAGAGGCAGAGACGCGGCCAAGTGTCAAAATGGCCTTCGGCCGACTGCAACCCCCACCGTGAGTGTCACGAGAGCCACGCACCTCCCGCTCCGTCCCGGTTCGAGCCCCCGCCCCCATCCCCGAGCCCGCGGAGAGCGGTGCATTGGGTGGGGCTAAACACTTCCAGAAAGCCCCTGGCTTCCCGTCCCAGCAGTCTCCCAGCATTCTAGACTAGGGTGTTCTGGTCCCAACTTCTCCATTTTCTGGGACTCCTGGGCTGAGGAAACCGGAGGAAGCCCTTGCCTTGAGCCGGTCCACAAATCAATTACAACACGTCAGAGCCTGAGCCCTCCTTCTGGGAAAAGATTAATAAAGTCTGCTCTCCCTAGCTCCTGAGTCAGCCAGTGGTGATGTGAGAAAGGGCACCAAGGCTAGCAAGGCGGTTGTCGAATAAACTTCCCCCTTTGTTCCTCTTCTCATCAGAAAATGGGAAAGCTTTAATCACGCCCTTATCCCCAGCACTCGGGAGGCAGAGGCAGGCGGATCTCTGTGAGTTCGAGGCCAGCCTGGTCTACAAGAGCTAGTTCCAGGACAGGAACCAAAAGCTACAGAGAAACCCCGTCTCGGAAAATCAAAAAAAAAAAAAAAAAAAAAAAAAAAGGAAAAGAAAAAAGAAAAACCCTGTCTCGAAAAAAAAAAACAAAAACAAAACAGGCTCCAAAGCTACTGAGAAACCTTATCTTGAAAAACAAAGAAGGAAGGGAGGGAGAAAGAGAGGTAGGGAGGGGGAAGGGAGAAAGAAAGAATTAGAACTCAAGGCTTTCTCAGGCCCCACGTTGGGCACCAAAATGTAGTTTTTTGGTTTTTTTAATTCTTTATATTTTGCACTTTGGAGACCCACAACTCAACTCCAAATAAATATACAACGACTCATTATTCTTTCTTTTTTTTTTTTTTTTTTTTTTTTGGTTTTTCGAGACAGGGTTTCTCTGTGGCTTTGGAGCCTGTCCTGTAACTAGCTCTGTAGACCAGGCTGGTCTCGAACTCACAGAGATTCACCTGCCTCTGCCTCCCGAGTGCTGGGATTAAAGGTGTGCGCCACCAACGCCCGGCTCATTATTCTTTCTTATGAATGCCTGGCCTTAGCTTGACTTGTTTCTAGCTCGTGTGTGTGTGTGTGTGTGTGTGTGTGTGTGTGTGTGTGTGTCACTAAATTGTTCAGGATGATTTTGAATTTCTTAAATTATTCCATCTATCTTTTTTTTTTTTTTTTTGGATTTTCGAGACAGGGTTTCTCCGTAGCTTTTTGGTTCCTGTCCTGGCATTAGCTCTTGTAGACCAGGTTGGCCTCGAACTCACAGAGATCCACCTGCCTCTGCCTCCCAAGTGCTGGGATTAAAGGTGTGTGTCACCACCGCCTGGTTTCCATCTATCTTTTGTTTTCGGACTTTTATCTTTATCCTGTATACCTTTCTTTTCTTCTTACTCCAAGGCTTGCTGTGTAGCTGGGTGGCTGGCCCCTGGAGTCCTCCCTCCCTGCTCCCTGTTCCCGCTCCTCAATCTTCCATCTTCCCGGATTTCCCCTATTCATTCTCTTTCCTTGCCAGCTCCACCTAACTTTCTCCTGCCTTGCTTTTGGCCATTCAGCTCTTTATTAAATCAATCAGATGTTTTAGGCAGGCAAAGTAACACAGCTTCACAGAGTGAAACAAATACAATCATAAAAGAGTACAACACATCTTTCCACAGCATAAACAAATGTAACACACCTTAAAATAAGGCGTCCTTTCCTGACCTCACATCGCACCGTACATAGACATACGCTGCACATACAGAGAAAGGTAACATGCATGAAAACAGACAGACCTGGAGGTCTCTCAAAGACAGGCATCATAAGAGAAGATGGTAGTAAATGCAGGATTATTGTTAGGGGTGTGGAAGGGAAAAGAAAACAGAGGATGACTAAGAGGGAATAACGGGGCCAGAGAGATGGTTTGGTGTCTAAGAGCACGGACTGCGCTTCCAGAAGACCCAGGTTCAATTCTCAGCACCCACATGACAGCTCACAACTGTCTGTAACTCCAGGAGCTCCCACCCTCACATAGACATATATACAGGCAAAAACATCAATAAAATTAAGAATAAAAGAGAGGGAATAGCAGGGATAAATAGTCCTGTATGGGAATGTCATAAAGCCAGGCAGGGGCAGTGGACCCACACTTGGCAGGCAGAGATAGACGGATCTCTGAGAGTTCGACGCCAGCCTTGCCTACAGAGTGAGTTCCAAGACAGCCAGAACTACTCAGAGAAACCCTGTCTCAAGAGAGAGAGAGAGAGAGAGAGAGAGAGAGAGAGAGAGAAGAGAGAAGTGTCATAATGAAGCCCCTGAGAATGCTGCCTCATCCAGCACAGAGCGTGCCCTGGAGAGCTGACTGGGCTGGTGAGGGATGAAGAAAGTACAGACACATGGACAGAGAAGCCGGCACCGGGTGGAGCATGTGTGTTTTCTGAAGGAGAAGCACTCCACACATTTACTGTGTTTGCTGAACAGTGACATGAGAAGGGGTGGGAGCCTTCTGTAGGGAGCGGCCTCGGGCTGTAAACAACAGGTAGGAGGAAGCTTCTGTCTGATGCTTTCTGTGAACTCAGTCAGCATCCACATAGGAATCCGAGGAGGGCTTCGCGGATTCCCGGAGAAGACCGGGAGAAGCTTTGCTGATTCCTCTGGGTCTGTGGCACTGGAGTCTTTAATACAGCTGTGGTCACATTCCTCGGGACTTCATCTGCCCTGACACATTGACTCAGGGCTCACTTCACTTCCCACACAATGTAAGCCCACTGGAAAGGAAAATGCAAAGATAAGGCTGGGCTGGGCTGGGCCGAGAAGCAGTGGCCAGAATTACGTCCTCCCAGAAGAGTACACCAAGCACATTAGAGACCTGGCTCTCCCTCATCACCGCAGGATATGGAGGAGAAGTCAAGATGCCTTAGAAAAGAGTATTCATGGGTTTTCTTATTGTGCTTCTACCAGAAGCCAGGCCTGTACCGGGCACAGGGCAGCAAGGACAGAAAGAGAGCTGGTCTGTCCTCTGCCATGTTCTATGCACACTGAAGGAGGGTAGAAACTCCTGGTGAGCCACAAGAGCTCTGGGGGAGAGTGGACTCCAAGGTGAGTAGGATTCTCCAAGGTAAACTTGTTGAATAAAAGGGAGACTCTCAGCTTCGGGGATGGGGAGTGAGAATTAGCCATCAGCAGTTCATCAGGCTTGGAGCGAGGCAGAGGGGGGGCTCTCAGTGGTGACCACGTGTTTATCATGTTCAGGGCCCTGGGTTCCATCTCTATCAATGCAAAAAAAATTAAAATAAAATTTTCTAGCTTTGATAGTGATATGATAATGCAGGAAAATTCGTCTAACTCTTTGAAGGTGCATGCTAGAATATGGAAGGGTGCCACATCACGCCTGAACTGTGTTTGGAATACTGGGAGACAATAAACGAAGCTGAAAGATGAAGAGTAACAGGATGGTGAGTTCTATTACTAGTTATCACTAGTCCCCTCACCCAAGGCCACTTCAGGTATGTCCCAAAGGCAAACACAATGGGACGGAGGGTAATGGGAAGCCCTTGAAAAGGTAGCATGAGCCTAGAGATTGGGCTTACAACACTGGGGTGATAGCCACCATCCACAGGGCAGCAGTCAGGAAAGGAGACCTCACCTAACTTAAGAAGCTCCAGACTGGTATCCGGGTGGCCACATCCTACCAGAGGTTGGATGTGAAGCTCAGGAGACAAGGGACAGTCTAGAAACAAAAGCCAATGCGTCCGAGCCACTCCAGAATCTCCTGAGTGCAGCAGCTCAGAGACAGCCTGGATAACATATCAAGAACCGTTTCCTAAAGATTAGTTCATCTACAAATGGGTGGGCAAGAAGGAAGAAAGAGAGCCTCTGGAAGGCTTTACGCTTAAAAAACACATGGGTGTGGACCGGGGAGATAGCTTACTCAATAAAGTGCTTGCTGATCCTCCCCACACGCCTCCACACCTGTGCACACGCCTCCACACCTGTGCACACGCCTCCACACCTGTGCAACACCTCCACACCCGTGCAACACCTCCACACCCGTGCAACACCTCCACACCCATTCAATACCTCCACACCCTTGCACACACCTCTACATCCATGCAACACCTCCACACCTGTGCAACACCTCCACACCCATGCACACACACAGAGGAAACAGAAACTGGTCGAAGTAGCCAGTAAAAGGACTAAAAGCGAGAGGTTGGGTCTCTTCACTATGCCAAACTTCGTGCCAAGAACCTTCCCCAGCTCACTAAGAATTAATCATCGCAACAGCCCTTTAGGTCAATATTGTCTTTCCTGTCTTACAGTTATTTATAGTGTGTGTGTGGAGGTCAGAGGACGACTTACAGGAGTCATTTCTCCTTCCATCCCGTGGTCTTCCGGCTCTTTTCTGTCTTAGAGATAAGGAAACTGGCGTGACCACATAAACTAACATTCCCAGAGTCAGTTAGGACAGTCTTCGAATTTTTCGTTTGCTTTTTTGTTTCATCTATTTATCTCTTTCTTCCTTTCTTTTTTTTCTTTTTCTTTCCTTTTCTTTCTTCCTTCCTTTCTTTCCTTTTTAAAGACAGGGTCTCCGGCTGTCCTGGAACTCAGTATGTAGACCATACCGGCCTCAAATTCACAGAGATACACCCTGCCTCTTGAGTGCAGGGACTAAAGGTGATTGCCACACACACCACCTATCTTGGAATTTGAACCCAGATCACAAAAGAGAGAATGGGAGCATTGCCCAGGAAAGGAGACGGCACCCAGGCAGAACGCTCCAGCCTGTCACACCGTAGATGAACCCCACAAAGGTGAGAGCTGTGGAACTCTAAAGCCTGTGCTTTTCCCCCCCTCTCACAGGAGACAACAAGAGAGGAGAGAGAGCAGGAGGAAGCTCACAGAACCGCGGGAGCCACGAGTGCCAGACAGTGCGGGGAGAGAGGTCAACTTAGGTGAGCAGCAAGAGGTGGCCATTAGGCGGTGCGGTGTCCTGAACTGCCTCAGGGATACTTCTGGGACCCGGGAGCAAGAGGAAGAACTGGGCACAGATGGATGAGCAGGGGAGATCTGGCATGAGGATGAAGAGAATCACCTACCACCACCCAGGGGGATGCCACGGGAAGGGCTAGGGCAAACTGTAGCAAATACACAGTTGGGGAAACAGGAGAAAGCTAGGAAGACCCAGAGATGACCCAGGAACTGGGTGGGGGAGGTGGGAACCCGGTAGTCATCAGAGCCTCTTCGGGGTCAATGTGATAGTACAGTGGGGTGCTGGGTATGAGGGAAGAGGAAGTGTGTTTACGGATGTTCAGTGAAGGAAGATGAAAACTCTGGAGAGATGGCTCAGCGGTTAAGCTCACTGGCTGCCCTTACAGTGAGCCCACGTTTGCTTCCCAGCACCTAGAGAGAAGCTCACAATTGTCTGTAACCCCAGTCCCAGAGGATCCAATACCTCTTCTCAACTCCCCGGGCTCTATACACACAGCACAAACACACACACTCAGGCACACAGAATCCCAGGCCATTCCCTGCACAGCTCTCCAGTCCGACACAGAACCGCTCTTGTGCCAGTGCTGAATGCATCCCTGAGGGGAGCATACCCCACAGAGGGTCCGCCGCTCTGCTCTGTGGGTTGGTTGAGTCTGGGGACTTGGAGGGAACTCTGGTGGCCAACTGTGCCTGTTCCCATTGTTTCACAGGCTATAGATGGCTGTGTTACCCAAGAGGACACATTGCCCAATCCCCTGTGTCCTCACTGTGAGCTAGTCGCTCAGAATCAACCTGCTGGTAAAAGTAGGGGTGTCGTGCCTGTCCCCAGCAGGATGCTCCCCGAGGTAGACGCCCCTGACACCCTGTTCTGTCAACTCCAGTCTAGCAGAAGGAGAGCAACTCACCCTCTCAGCTCCCGAGGCAGTTCTGAGGCTCACAGAAGGAATGCAGAGGGCTGACTTTCTTCCTTAAGACAGCAAGGCTAGGGCTCCAGTTCAGTCCAGCAGGAAAGTGCTTATCTTGCATGCCTGAGGCCCAAGGTTCAATCTCCAGCACTAATGAGAAGAAGCTAAGGGGCAGGGATGTGGCTTGGCTGGTAGAGTGCTTGCCAGTCATGCGTGAAGGCCTAAGTTCAACCCACAGCCCGGCACAAACTAGACACGGTGGCGTGGCACAAGGCTGTAATCCTGGAATTCAGGAGATGGAGGCAAGGGGACCAGAATTTAGAGGTCCTCCTCATCTACAAGGAGACTCTCTGACCAGTCTGGGCAACTTGAGACTCTGCCTCAAAAAGAAAATAAAGGCTTTGTATTATTATTTTTATTATTATTATTATTATCATTGGGTTTTGTTTGTTTGTTTGTTTGTTTTGAGACAGGGTCTCACTCTGTAGCTCAGGCTATCCTGAAACTCACTATGTAGACCAGGCTGGCCTCCAACTCATAGAAGTCTGACTGTCCCTGCCTTCCAAGTGCTAGGATTTAAAGATGTGTACCACTATGCCTGGCATATTATCTTTGGACTTATGGGAATTAAAATAACTTTGTCTACCTGCCAGGTGGTGGTGCCCAGCACTCCAGGAGGCTAAGGCAGGCAGATCTCTGTGAGTTCGAGGTCAGTCTGTCCTACAAAGGTAGTTCCAGGGCAGTCAAGGCTACACAGAGAAACCCTGTCTCAAAAAACCAAAGTAATGATGATAATAACAACAATAATAATATTAAAAGATAACTTAGCTTTGATGGACTAGAGAGGTGACTCAGTGGCTCTCCCAGAGAACCTGTGTTCAGCCCACAGCACTCATATCGGGGATCTGACACCTTTTTCTGACTTCTGTGGGCATCTTCATGTTTCTCCTGAGACAGGGCAGAGGTGAGCATGAAATATTAAGACAGAAGCAAAGCTAGGGGGTTGCTGGTTACCTCATGAGTCGAATCCTTGGGACCGAAAGCCAAAACCCTAGGCAGGGGCCGAGGAAAAACTCATTCACTCGCTCATTCCAAGTATTAAAAACTAAGTTATAGCTGAGCGGTGGCGCCTTTAATCCCAGCACTCAGGAGGAAGAGGCTGGGGGATCTCTGTGAGTTCGAGGCCACCCAGACCTACAGAGCAAGTTCCAGGACAGCAAGCGCTGTTACACAGAGAAACCCTGTCTTGGAAAACAAAAACAAAACTAAATGACTCTAGTCTTAGAACTGTATGGAAATGAGTAGGACCCGGTCCTACCTTGAAGACACTACAGGCAGAACTGGGGAGGTAGCTTGACTGTTAAGAGCACTGGCTGCTCTTCTAAAGGACCAGAGTTCAGTTCCTAGCACCCACATGGTAGCTTAGGACTGTTAACTCTAGCTCTAAGGGATCTGGCGCCCTCTTCTGGCCTCCCTGGCACAAGGCACACATGCAGCGCACAAACATACATTCAGGAAAGATACTTATACACACAAAATACAAACAAATCTTTAAAAAAAAAAAAAAGGAGGGGGGCCTGGGGAGATGGCTCAGAGGTTAAGAGCACTGGCTGCTCTTCCAGAGGTCCTGAGTTCAATTCCCAGCAACCACATGGTGACTCACAACCATCTATGAGACCTGGTGCCCTCTTCTGGTAGGCAGGCATACATGCACACAGAACATTGTATACATAATAAAGAAATAATTTTTAAAAATCTTTAAAAAAAAGAAAAACTAAATATGGTTACAGCCCGCTGACACAGATAAAACTACAGTGTGGTGATGTCTACAACGCCGAGAGGCCCCGGATGTCTACAACGCCGAGAGGCCCCGGATGTCTACAACGCCGAGAGGCCCCGGATGTCTACAACGCCGAGAGGCCCCGGATGTCTACAACGCCGAGAGGCCCCGGATGTCTACAACGCCGAGAGGCCCCGGATCCTGGGAGCTGCCCAGCACAGCACGGTGGGTGCAGGAGAGTAGCAAGGTACCTAAGATAGGCTAGGGGGTGGTGGGTGGCACATACCAGGGGACAGAGGTAAAGAGATGTCTGTGTGCAAGGCCCAGGACAGCCAGAGCTACCTAATGAGAGCCTGTTTCAAAAACAAACCAACTGAAGGTGTATGCCAAAAAACCGAGGGCTTCGTAAAGGGCCCACTGGGTGCTGCTCTCCACCCAGTCACGCCTCTTACAGGGGGCAGTACTGCAACAAGCCGGCCAACAACGAAGAGAAGTATCCGGATTAGAATGGGTAAAGAATGCTAGCAATGCCCAAGCCGATTCTCTGATCCTCCTCACACCCTCAACACACACACACACACACACACACACACCACACACCACACACACACACACCACACACACACACACCACACACCACACACACACACACACCACACACGCCACACACACACGCACACCACACACCACACACACACACACCACACACACGCCACACACACACGCCACACACACACGCACACACACGCCACACACACACCACACACACACACGCCACACACACGCCACACACACACACCACACACACACCACACACACACACCACACACACACACGCCACACACACCACACACACACACGCCACACACACCACACACACACACACCACACACACACGCCACACATGCCACACACACACACACACACTCACACGCCACACACACACACCACACACACCACACACACTCACATGCCACACACACACACGCCACACACACACACACACACACACCACACACACACGCACACACACATACACACACTCACACGCCACACATGCCACACACACACACACCACACACACACACCACACACACACGCCACACACACACACCACACACACACGCCACACACACACGCCACACACACCACACATACCACACACACACACCACACACACTCACACCACACACACCCACACGCCACACACACCACACACACACACCACACACACCACACACACACACCACACACACACACCACACACACACACACCACACACACCACACACACACACGCCACACTCACACGCCACACACCACACACACACACCACACACACACACACTCACACGCCACACACACACGCCACACACACACACGCCACACACACACACGCCACACACACACACTCACACACACACACACACACACGCGCCATCCTCTTCTGGGCAACCACGTTGATCTTTGCACCCATGGACTCTCTTGACTTCCCTCTGAGATAGGATTTCCTTGGAATTCTCTTCCTGCCACCCTCTCGCCAGCTTCCCTCATCTGACAGCTCAGGTTGCGCTTTGTCGGTGCCTGGTGCCTGTCTCAGCCCATCTGCCAGCTTTTCCACGTCCCTGGAAGGGTAAACATTGAGCGCAGAACCCCTCCTTTTCTTAGACCGGGAACATGGCGCCCCCTGCTGGAAGGCCCCTTCTGGCCCCGAAGTTAGGATTTCAAGGCCCTGAAGAGGGAACCACCCCGAAAGAAATACACAGGAAAAAAAAAAAAAAGGTGGGGAGGCCTGGAAAAACCAAGAGTGAAAAGCAAAGGGCACAATTGGAGGGCTGACATTCCCTAAGGTTAGAGAAGATTGGTTGGAATTCGGAGACGGTTCTTCTCTGAGGGGCTGGAGGCAAAGGAAACCATCACCCCTAGTGATTCTTACATTCTCCAAAGTGTGCTATGCCTATATGTGCTATACCGGCCACCGCTACAGCCCCTAGCACAAACTCTTTGGATCCCTTCTCCCAGCCCCCAGCTTCTCTTAGAGAAACTAAAGTTAGCGGGGCTGCCAAGGGACGCAGGCAAGATAAGTACAGGGTTTGGGGAACATGATATGGGCAGGGTCAATAATTACACAGTAAGGTCCTCTTGGGGACTGCAGGGTTGTGGCCAGCGGCTTTGGAAGGGTCCACTCCTGTAGCAAACTACCCCAGCCACAAAGAGCCCGAAAGAGAGTCGACAGTTAGGGACGCCCTCTCCCCTGAACTACAATTCAATCATCCCATCCCTCCTCACCCACCCCAAAAAAGCCAAGGAATAAAGTCGTTAACCCCGAAGGTGAGGCCTTGGGACCAAAAAGTGAGAGGAGATTGGAGCAGGGAACCCCGTCTACCACCGTGACCTGACCCTGCCTAACCTCAGAAGCTAAACAGGGTAGGACCTTGGGGAAATTCTCTGTGAGGTGGGTCCCCGGGGAGGGGGCTGCATGGCTGGGAAACATTACAGTCCCCGTCTTCGTGGCAGCACCTCGGAGCACAGCCTCGGCCTCGAACACTGGCCACTGGCGACAGAATCCTTGTTTTTAAGGTTGTTAGCAGACCGCATACCCTAGAAAGCACTTGGGTCCCTCTGTCAGGTCCTGCCCCTTGGTTCAGCGAAGCTGCGGTCCCTTCTTCTCACCACCAGCTCACAGTCTTCAAACTTCAACACCAGCCTCAAGCCCCCACCCACATTTGCTATGAACTAGTCAGAAACTTGAAGGAGGTGGACCTGAAGGATGCCAGGATTGGGCTAGGAGAGTGGGCGCCCTGTAGTAGGAAGGCAGTTACCAGGGAGACCAGGACAGTGGGCTGGGACCCGAGCCAGGGTTGGCACTTACTGGGATAAGCAAAGGGTGGTTGGTTGCTTGCTTGGTTGCTTGGTTGTTTGATGAAAAGGTCTCTCTAAGTAGACTGGGCTGACCTTGACTTGTAGCGACCGCCCTGCCTCAGCCTCTAGACTGTTCTAGACAGGCCTGAGCTTTTACGCCAGCAAGCCAAAGTCTTAATGTTCCGCTTTCTTCTAACTCCTTTCCTACGTAGCAACCAGCGCCCCTCCTTGTGACTGGGTCTGGGGGCAGCTGGAGTGCTGAAGCTCCGAAAAGAAACCTTAGAAGAATCATCCCAAGGGACCAGGCCTGAGAGAAGTCAAAGAAAGAGTGAATCTAGGAGGCGTTGGAGAACGGACAAGGCTTACGGTATTTCAGAACTTCGACTGACGGTGCTGTTCACCGGTCCAGCGGTTGCCGACCTGGGTTCGGGGTTGGGGAACGTACTTTGGGACTTCAAATCCAAAGGGCAAAATATCAAAAAACAAACAAACAAAAAACAAAAACAAACAAACAAAAAAAAAACCCACGCTGGATTGTCATTTCGTATTATTCCACCAGAGGGCAGGATTGTCCACTTAATGAATGACCTGCAGTCTAGCGACGGCGCCGAAATCTGCCTGGTTTCAGCCTCCCGGGTTATTTGGCCACAACAACCCCTTGTGGACACAAATACACAGTTTCTTCACACACCACCACCCCCTGCCCAGCTCTCACCAGGTTCCCTCACTAAGGTTCATTCAAACCTTTTAGTCAAAGCAGCTAAGGAATACATTAGTGAAAAGGGCCCTGCTCTGTTCGGTGTCACCAAGCGAGGGTTACAAGCAGAGGAAGGGATGATGACCAACTCTATTAGAATGGTGTGTCAGACCTTCAATCCTCATAGTGTTTCAAAACAGCTGTTGTAGTGTTATTCCCATCTTACAAAGAACTCTAAGATTGAAAAAATTAAAAAAAAAAAAAGAACTCTAAGGTGTAAAGGGGTTTAATAACTTGGGCTGGCAAGATGACTGGGCAGGTAAAGGAGTTTGCCACCAAGCCTGAAGAACTGACTTTGATCCCAGGGACCCACATGGTGGAAAGAGAGAACTTACTCCAGAAAGTTATTGTGACTCATGTTGCTACTATGTGCGCTCGAGTCTCACTCACACACACACACACACACATGCACGCACGCACGCACGCACACACACAAGTTCACACAGCCAGAAAGGGAGGTTGCGTAGACACAGGCAGCCTAGCTCTAGTAGAAGCTGTTTGAAGGAAAGGCCTGCTGACCGATTTCTCAAAATTCTCGTCCGTACTGAGACCTAAGAAAAGAGTAAATCTGGCCAAGAGATTTGGTCCCTGTGTGCTAGGGACCAAGCCTTGACAGGCTAAGTGCTCACACGCCATGCTGAGCTCCTGAGTTCCAGCTGAGAAGTTGTTCTGTGGAGACAGCTCAGATGATAGGACTGGAATGCTACACCCATGTAGCCGAGGTGTCTCAGGTTCTCCGGACTGGAGCGATAGCTGGTATCGTGTACCTGTGTACCTAATGTCTGCTGCTTGGAGAAAGGGGCTAAATCTTAGCATCTCACTTGTCTTTGCATCTCCCACTAGATGCGCGTTTGATGGGGAAGTGAGAGGTGTGTTCGCTAAAGAAACAGAAAGAGGTGGCACCATTTCTGCTGTCAAAGTGTTTGCGGGGGTGTTTGTTTTTTTTTTTTTTTTTTTTCAGACACGGGGTCTCTCTCTGTCACCTTGGCTGTCCTGGAACTCACTCTGTAGACCAGGCTGACCTCAAACTCACAGAGATCTGCCTGTCTCTGTCTCCCAAGTGCTAGGATTAAAGGCATGACTCACCATGCCCAGTTTATGATATTTTATTGGGTTTTGATTCTGGAAAGGAAACCAAAAGCTTTCTTCTTGGCCTAAGAATCCCAATAGTGAGTTTTATACTTTTTATATTTATTTAAGTTTTTTGTGATGGGCCTTCCTACCAGAGTTTATTCATTTTTTTATTAGTGAGCCATACATGACATGGCAGAGGAGCAAGCCCCAAGCCCCAAACACTTTCAGTTTGCCAAGGGATCTCCAGAGACACAGGGCAAGGCGTGTCTAAGCAAAGAGCTCTCTCAGGGCTGAGGCAGGAGGATAGCCGAGTTTGAGGCCAGCCTGGGATACATTTGAGACGCTGCCTCAAAGAAGAAAACGAGGATGGGGAAACGGGAAACGGAGTGAGAGGAGTTTAGGGGAGAGGGAGAGAAAGAGAAACTGAGGTCTGGGGAAAGTTACCCAGCACTAGTGACCACCTTGAAGCCCTTTTATCACTTGGCATCCTTCCTTCTTCTGTCCTGCTGTCTGGCTATGCTTGGGGTCACACCTGAAGACTAAGGCTGGTCCCTTGCAGCTCGCTGGCTCCACTCACGCATCTGCTGCATATAGACCTCTCCCACCCTGATGCCTTTAACTTCAAGCTCTTTTTCATACATGTAAAACAAAGGCATGACTGGGAACGCAGGGGTCCAGATTTCAAGCACCACTTTCAAGTCCTGTCTCATCTCTTTCCCCCTTGGCTCTCACCCGGTCCAGCCCGGTCACTCCCTTTGTTCCATTAAACCCCACTTTCACGCTCACGGCTCTCCCCGTTAGTTTTCTTCCTATCTCAGGACTTGCCATCACCTCCCCAACTTCTCCGTTTGTCCATGACCTTTTCCTCTCCTAATTTCCTCGATCGGGTTCGCTGTGCTAAGGCAACCTGATGTTTCACTTTATGGCTCCCCTAACCATCCTGGGCTACCTCAAGTAGCTGAGGCTGTTCCCATCTCCACCTCCTCCCCTTGGTGTCTCTCTCTTCGCTCCCACCACGACGGACTTGTCTCTCTTCCTCTTTCTCTCTGCACCTGCGAGGGCTCCCCTCAAGCTATCTCCCAGTCTCTACTTCTCCCCCCACGGTAGTGAATCTCTGTCAGTCCCCTTGCCCACCTCTCCTGCCCTGTCCTGCTTGAGTTTGTAGAATTCGGTTAGGCAACCGCCCCTCTTCGCGGTCCACCTTTGTCTCCGACTCTCTCTACTCTAACTGTCCCACTAGTTTCCCTGATGGTTTTCCGTCTTTGCTCTGGCTCTCTAAATCTCTCCCCTCTGTGACTTCTTTTCTCTTTTGTCTCTCCCTCTTCCCTTCCTATCTGGGTCTCTTTGGATCTGCCTCTTCCCCCACCCCCAACCCCTACTCCTCGCTCCGTCTGTCCCCGGTCTCTCTGACTCGGTCCCTCCCGGCCTCCCCCCTCCCCCTCATCTCTCGCTCGGTCTCTTCATCTTTCTCTGGGCCCGTGCTCTCCCTCGCTCCCTCCCTCTCTCTCTCTCTTTTCCTTGGCTCTCTCCGGCTCCCTCTCTCGCCTCGGATGACAGCGCTACCTCTTTTGTTGGCTCCGCAGCCAATCGCGGCCGCTGACGACACGGGGGCCGGGGCTATAAAGGGCCCGGCCCGGGCTTGGGCCCCCCCAGCCGCCCGCCCCGGCCGCCCGCCCGCCCCGCCCGTGCGCCCGCCGCCCCCGGCCCCCGGCCCCCCCTCGGCCGGGCAGCCCCCAATCCCGCGCCGCCCGGACCCCCTCCTCCTCCCTCTTCCCTCCGCCCCCTCCCCGCGGGACTCCGGCGTCCCCGCCCCCCAGTCCTCCTCCCCTCCCCTGCAGCATGGTGCTCGCGGCCCCGCTGCTGCTGGGCTTCCTGCTCCTCGCCCTGGAGCTGCGGCCCCGGGGGGAGGCGGCCGAGGGCCCCGCGGCGGCGGCGGCGGCAGCGGCGGCGGCGGCGGCGGCGGCCGGGGTCGGGGGGGAGCGCTCGAGCCGGCCGGCCCCGTCCGCTTCGCCGGAGCCGGACGGCTGCCCCGTCTGCGTGTGGCGGCAGCACAGCCGCGAGCTGCGCCTGGAGAGCATCAAGTCGCAGATCCTGAGCAAACTGCGGCTCAAGGAGGCGCCCAACATCAGCCGGGAGGTGGTGAAGCAGCTGCTGCCTAAGGCGCCGCCGCTGCAGCAGATCCTGGATCTGCACGACTTCCAAGGCGACGCGCTGCAACCCGAGGACTTCTTGGAAGAGGACGAGTACCACGCTACCACGGAGACGGTCATAAGCATGGCCCAGGAGAGTAAGTGGGCTACGGGGTGCGCGCGGTGCGTTCCAATCTCGGGAAGGACCCGGAAGCCCTTTCTGCAAAAACTTGACGGATTGGGGAGCCGGGCCACTCCACACAACTTTTTCGAACAGTGAAGATGGACAGCGGAGTTGAGTGCACGCCCCGTTGGGGGTGGGGGGTTGGGGGGTTGGCCAAACTGGGCAGGTTGTGAGATATTGCTTCCCACCCTTGTGCGGAAAAAAGAGTCAAGTTGAAGTTGTCCCAGAAACTGGCACCCAACAGTGATTCTCCTTGAAGCGCTAGGTGGGTAGATTCCGTGACCAGTGCAGTCCCAGCTGGGCCGCAGTGCCATCTTCCTATTGCTCTGGCACCGGCACCAGCTCCCTGCCTGGTGCTCTGTAAGGCGCCCACCAGGCTGCGGAGAACTGAGGTTCCTCTAACCCCCACAGGCATAGGACCCAAACCTGGTGTCCCTCTGATTGACATCTTTTCTTTCTGCACCTGATCTGGCGCTGGGTAGCCCCTAGGAGCTTGAAGAGCTGTTCCTTCCTGGTACAGAAAGAGTTCGAACAACTCCACTCCACTGCGCTTGCGACTTAATGAGTATCGTTTGGTTACTCTCACCTTAGTATTCTGTCCCTTATTCCCCGTCCTACCCACAGCTGGAGCCAGAGAAGACCCAGGGAGAAAGAACTAGATGAGGGGGATGGGAGAACCCAGGCATCCGAGCCTCTGGCCAAACGGAGGATGAACACTCTAATAGACATGAGCTGCTTTGAAATTTTATGGCCTGGAAAATCCAGGCCAATACTACCGCCCCCACTGCCTGCTCTCCCTAGGGTCAGGTGACTCCCTGTTCCCCTCCCCCACCGATTGTCGTCCCCCCCCCCCCCAACTTCAGGGAACCAGGCTTTCTCTATTCCCTAGTGGTTTGGCAAGCCCCCCTCCTTTGGTTTTATGGCTCTGAACAGAAGGGGTGGGGGAGACTGGTTTATTGGCAGATGGGTCATAAAAAGCTGGGGGCTGCGGGAAATCCTAGTGGTCCACCCCCATGGTAGAGGTACCCAGGTGTACATCTGGAAGGTTGAGTGCCTGGCATTGCCTCCCAGTTTCTGCAGAATTCAACTCCAACTTGGTCAGGCTTGTAAAGAAAACTCAAAGAACCAGGAAGTGTGTGTGTGTGTGTGTGTGTGTGTGTGTGTGTGTGTGTGTGTGTGTGAGAGAGAGAGAGAGAGAGAGAGAGAGAGAGAGAGAGAGAGAGGAGGGCATGGAGATCTGATCTTGGGTTCTCAGTCTCCCATGTTCTTAATGCTTCTACTTTTGGAAACCAGGGTCAGTCTGAGATTGAATAGGGCAGGGGTGGGGAAAGGATTCTATCTAGAAAACAGTTGTA